AACATATTCGTAATAGTAAAGACTCAGATGAACTAATTGACCTAAAAAGACACCTAGAGAGAGAGTCAGTACTCCGATTTACACATGAAAATATTGAAAATAACAGTCTGCCATTCTTGGATGTACTAATAACAAAAACAGGAACCTCTTTAAGCACCAACGTATATACCAAGCCCACCAACATAGGATTATGCCTGAACGGTAGAAGTGAGTGCCCCCAAAGATACAAAGCCAGTGTTCTCAATGCTTATATTCGTCGAGCGCTTACCCACTGCTCTGAATGGAGCAACGTGAGTAGAGAGTTTGAAAGAGTAACTCAGGTATTGGTGAACAATAGATATAGCAACACGGAAATAAACACCGCTATAAGAAGACACCTGGAACGATGGTACAATCCTGAACCTGGAACAGAAACCACAACACCTTCAATAAAATTATATTACAAATCAACCATGCACAGTGAACATACAAATGAAGAAAGAACAATGAAAGAAATAATCCGTAAAGGAGTAAAAAGCATTACTCCTGACCAAAACATAAACCTGTTCATCTATATAAATCAAAATGGAAATGTTCGTTGGTTCAAAATCGCTAATCTCTGAAAGTTCTTCACCGATTGCTTTGAAATTTTCACACAACGTTCCATTCGCATCCGAGCTGGTTTTTATATACATACTATATAAATGTCACGTCTGTGACGGGAAAAAAACATGTTTTTTTCTGAAAAACTGTATTTTTCATGTGAGGGAAATCTTCGAAACCTCTTTACCGATTGCTTTGAAATTTTGACACAACGTTGCATTCGAATAGGCGCGTCTTTTAATATATCTACTATATACATGCCTCACCTGTGACAGGAGAAACCATCCTTTTTTTTTTAAACAGCGCCATCTGTTGGACGTAGGAGCAACACTCGCTGTAATCTCCAAAATTTCTCCACAGATTGCTTTGAAACTTTGACACAACGTTGCATTCGAACAGGCGCATCTTTTTATATACCCTCTATATAGAGGCAATCCCTGTGACAGGTAAAAAAATATGCGTTTTTGAACAACAGCGCCATCTGTTGCACATAATAGCAACATGCACGCTATACTAAATATGTCACGATTTCCATGTCAATGTTTTCAATTGCATTGATAAATTTTATTTTCATAGATTTCGATTTATTTTATTTGTTATTGAATTATTTTGTGTGGCATTGTGTTGGAATTGAGCTGTGTTGTTTACCATACCGTTCATTTCGTAAGTATAAGTATAGATGCCTCACCTGTGACAGGTAAAACTATGCTTTTCTTGACAAACAGCGCCATCTGTTGCATGTAAGAACAACACACATGCTATAATAAATATGTTACAATTCCATTTCAATGTTTCTGATTGCATTGATAAATTGAATTTTCATTGATTTTTATTTATTTTCATTTTGATTTAGTTATTTTGTGTGAATTGCATTGGAATTGAGCTGTGTTGTTTACCATACCGTTCATTTCGTGAGTATAGTTAAGATTTTTTTTGTCATATTTTCATTTCATTTTATAACTGTTTTTCTTATACTTCAGTGATGGGAACATCAGATCACTTAATGTTCCCAATTTTCTGATGGGAACATCAGACCATTTGGGAAGGCATCGGACGAGGGAGTGGGGAATGGTGGGGAGGACGAGGGGACGGAAGTGAGAGATGGTGGGGAGGACGAGGGGACGGGGGAGTTTGGGATGGTGGGGACGAGGGGACGGGAGAGTTTGGGATGGTGGGGACGAGGGGACGGGGGAGTTTGGGATGGTGGGGACGAGGGGACGGGAGAGTTTGGGATGGTGGGGACGAGGGGACGGGGGAGTTTGGGATGGTGGGGACGAGGGGACGGGAGAGTTTGGGATGGTGGGGACGAGGGGACGGGGGAGTTTGGGATGGTGGGGACGAGGGGATGGGAGAGTAGGGAATGGTGGGAAGGACGAGGAGACAGGGAAGGTTGCTGTGGCTCAGCAATGCACATGTGTTGCTGAGCCACAGCAACGCGTTTCCGGGTACTGCTAGTATTCTATAAAACCAAGAAGACTTCCGAACTCCTTATCAAAAACAGGCCGAAGCCGACGGAGAACCCTCTACAGCAGTCAAGCGTTGTATACATGTACACTTGCCCCCACGAAGGATGTAACCTTCAATCTAAGTACATAGGTATGACGTCGACCAAGCTGACGAGGCGTTTGACATGCCATCTTCAATCCGGTGCCCCCAGGAATCACATGAGACAAGCCCATGACATCACCCTAACAAGAGAAATGCTGAATAAAAACACTTGTATAATAGACAAAACCCGAGATGTAAGAAGATTAAAAATTCTTGAAGCAATCCAGGAATACACTCAGGTGCTGGCCAAGAATACACCAGGTGCTGGCCAAGAATACACTCAGGTGCTGGCCAAGAATACACTCAGGTGCTGGCCAAGAATACACTCAGGTGCTGGCCAGGAATACACTCAGGTGCTGGCCAAGAATACACTCAGGTGCTGGCCAAGAATACACCAGGTGCTGGCCAAGAATACACTCAGGTGCTGGCCAAGAATACACCAGGTGCTGGCCAAGAATACACCAGGTGCTGGCCAAGAATACACCAGGTGCTGGCCAAGAATACACCAGGTGCTGGCCAAGAATACACCAGGTGCTGGCCAAGAATACACCAGGTGCTGGCCAAGAATACACCAGGTGCTGGCCAAGAATACACCAGGTGCTGGCCAAGAATACACCAGGTGCTGGCCAAGAATACACTCAGGTGCTGGCCAAGAATACACCAGGTGCTGGCCAGGAATACACCATGTGCTGGCCAAGAATACACTCAGGTGCTGGCCAGGAATACACCAGGTGCTGGCCAAGAATACACTCAGGTGCTGGCCAAGAATACACTCAGGTGCTGGCCAAGAATACACCAGGTGCTGGCCAAGAATACACCAGGTGCTGGCCAAGAATACACTCAGGTGCTGGCCAAGAATACACCAGGTGCTGGCCAAGAATACACCAGGTGCTGGCCAGGAATACACTCAGGTGCTGGCCAGGAATACACCAGGTGCTGGCCAAGAATACACTCAGGTGCTGGCCAAGAATACACTCAGGTGCTGGCCAAGAATACACACAGGTGCTGGCCAAGAATACACCAGGTGCTGGCCAATAATACACTCAGGTGCTGGCCAAGAATACACTCAGGTGCTGGCCAAGAATACACCAGGTGCTGGCCAAGAATACACTCAGGTGCTGGCCAAGAATACACCAGGTGCTGGCCAAGAATACACTCAGGTGCTGGCCAAGAATACACCAGGTGCTGGCCAAGAATACACTCAGGTGCGGGCCAAGAATACACCAGGTGCTGGCCAAGAATACACTCAGGTGCTGGCCAAGAATACACTCAGGTGCTGGCCAAGAATACACCAGGTGCTGGCCAGGAATACACCAGGTGCTGGCCAAGAATACACCAGGTGCTGGCCAAGAATACACTCAGGTGCTGGCCAAGAATACACACAGGTGCTGGCCAAGAATACACTCAGGTGCTGGCCAAGAATACACTCAGGTGCTGGCCAAGGAGACCACATTGGCCAGAAAATTTTCTCATCTGAAGATAACTGAAGATAACTGAAGATAACTGAAGATAAATAAATGCAACAGAGCATAAAAAGAACACATAACAGCGGCCATTGATCTTCAAATTCACAGTTTTGGTAAAACGTGAAAAATCCCCCCCTCCCCCTCCCCCCCTCTCCCCCCCTCCCCCCCCCCCCTCTCCCCCTCCCACCCCTCCCCCCTCCCCCCTCCCCCTTCCTAAGATTCTCGATTTTTTTTTTCTTGAGACACGTGCCTACTAAAGCTTTTTTTTCGTGGTCTTTTGAGCCGAAAAAAATGTCTTTTTTTTTCGCTTCTTTCGAATTTTTTTTCCTCCCTCTGGATGTGTGTGTTTGTGTAAGTTACAGTTTGTGGTGATGTCGAAATGTGTCTTGTGTCCTGGAACGTCGCCCAGGCGACGGTTGTGGCCGCGCTCGTCCTGATATATAAGTCATTGATTTATTCTGGCAGTGGTGGAGGGGCGCTGTTGTGGCTGGCATCCTGTTTGGGTCTCCCAGGACGACCTCCGGTCACTACTGCTTTTTTCCTCCATGTTGTTTTTTACTTGTGAAGTGACGAGTCATGTGAGGGACGAAGAGAAGGTGAGAGACAGAGAGAGAGAGAGAGAGAGAGAGAGAGAGAGAGAGAGAGAGGGAGAGGGAGGAAGAGAGAGAGAGAGAGAGAGAGAGAGAGAGAGAGAGAGAGAGAGAGAGAGAGAGAGAGAGAGAGAGAGAGAGAGAGAGAGAGAGAGAGAGAGAGAGAGAGAGAGAGAGAGACAGAGACAGAGAGAGAGAGAGAGAGAGACAGAGAGAGAGAGAGAGAGAGAGAGAGAGAGAGAGAGAGAGAGAGAGAGAGAGAGAGAGAGAGAGAGAGAGAGAGAGAGAGAGAGAGAGAGAGAGAGAGAGAGAGAGAGAGAGAGACAGAGAGAGAGAGAGAGAGAGAGAGAGACAGAGAGAGAGAGAGAGAGAGAGAGAGAGAGAGAGAGAGAGAGAGAGAGAGAGAGAGAGAGAGAGAGAGAGAGAGAGAGAGAGAGAGAGAGAGAGAGAGACAGCCAGTCGGGAAGATACTGTCTATCTATAAACATCAGTTCCATTGTTTCCGGTCCCCCCTTACTCCTCTTGGCTCCGTAATACACCACCCCGTCCGCCTAAGGTTTCCCCAACGTCAAGAAAACGACCAATTTAAAGTGCCCTTATCTTAACCTGCCAGAGGACCCAAAACAGAAAACGGGACGGTACGTCACTTTCGCCAGCCGCTTCCATTTTCTAGTACGACAATTATTGGGCCTTATGTGACGCATACGGCCGAAAAACGACGTTCCTTGTAGGAGGACAGGTTGCACGGTTTCTAGTGTTTGTCTGATGCGTCTACCAGTTTTACTCTACGTGTTTCATCATCCCCATCGGCGGATTATTTTTGTATCAGTGATGACAATCTCCTCGTTTTAGAATCATAGACCTCGCTTGATTTAGAATCATAGACCTCGCTTGTTTTAGAATCATAGACCTCGCTTGTTTTAGAATCATAGACCTCACTTGTTTTAGAATCATAGACCTCACTTGTTTTAGAATCATAGACCTCACTTGTTTTAGAATCATAGACCTCTCTTGTTTTAGAATCATAGACCTTGCTTGATTTAGAATCATAGACCTCGCTTGATTTAGAATCATAGACCTCGCTTGTTTTAGAATCATAGACCTCTCTTGTTTTAGAATCATAGACCTCACTTGTTTTAGAATCATAGACCTCACTTGTTTTAGAATCATAGACCTCACTTGTTTTAGAATCATAGACCTCACTTGTTTTAGAATCATAGACCTCACTTGTTTTAGAATCATAGACCTTGCTTGTTTTAGAATCATAGACCTCACTTGTTTTAGAATCATAGACCTCGCTTGATTTAGAATCATAGACCTTGCTTGTTTTAGAATCATAGACCTCGCTTGTTTTAGAATCATAGACCTTGCTTGATTTAGAATCATAGACCTCGCTTGATTTATAAACATAGACCTCGCTTGTTTTAGAATCTCAGACCTCGCTTGATTTAGAATCATAGACCTTGCTTGTTTTAGAATCATAGACCTCGCTTGATTTAGAATCATAGACCTCGCTTGATTTAGAATCATAGACCTCGCTTGTTTTAGAATCATAGACCTCGCTTGATTTATAAACATAGACCTCGCTTGATTTAGAATCACAGACCTTGCTTGTTTTAGAATCATAGACCTTGCTTGATTTAGAATCATAGACCTCGCTTGATTTAGAATCATAGACCTCGCTTGTTTTAGAATCATAGACCTCGCTTGATTTATAAACATAGACCTCGCTTGTTTTAGAATCATAGACCTCGCTTGATTTAGAATCACAGACCTCGCTTGATTTAGAATCACAGACCTCGCTTGATTTATAAACATAGACCTCGCTCCCCTTGGCACTGTGACTGCTTTTTTCCTCACCAAAGAACAGGTCTATTTGCGTCAGTCATATTCTTCTCTAGGCCTTGCATACTGTTAGAGGAACTGTATAGCTCTGCTGCGGTTGTCTTCACATCTCCAACTGTTGTTATTCCAAGTATGTACTCAGGCTGGTAGGTTTCCTTTGATATGTTTACGGCCACAAAGCTCTATAGTGTAGTTGTAGAGTAGAGCTTAAATCCGCCCCTGTTCATATTCTGAAGGGAAGCTTGCATTGCCTGTAATACATTTCAGTTTCCATTATTGCTATAATGTGTGATTGTTCCTCTGCCACAATATCCTGCAGTTCTCACCCTTTATTTGTAATTCCTTCTGCATTTGTGTAGATACCTTTAATGCCACTCGTTCTTATTGAGTTTCTGTTTTACTTGAAGGATAGTTGTCCCTATTCTTTGATGTCCGTTCTTGATAGGAGAAGTGGTGTAGGGTGGGTTAGACACTCCTGCCTGCTTCTTTGTATAAATACCTTGTTACGCTTGGTGGCGTCGCAAGCTAACGAGGGGGAGGAGGTGAAGGAGGTAGTGAAGGAGGTTCTAGAAGGACGTTATGAAGGGGGTTGTGAAGGGGGTTCTAGAAGGACGTTATGAAGGGGGTTGTGAAGGGGGTTCTAGAAGGACGTTATGAAGGGGGTTGTGAAGGGGGTTCTAGAAGGACGTTATGAAGGGGGTTCTAGAAGGACGTTATGAAGGGGGTTGTGAAGGGGGTTCTAGAAGGACGTTATGAAGGGGGTTGTGAAGGGGGTTCTAGAAGGACGTTATGAAGGGGGTTGTGAAGGGGGTTCTAGAAGGACGTTATGAAGGGGGTTGTGAAGGGGGTTCTAGAAGGACGTTATGAAGGGGGTTCTAGAAGGACGTTATGAAGGGGGTTGTGAAGGGGGTTCTAGAAGGACGTTATGAAGGGGGTTGTGAAGGGGGTTCTAGAAGGACGTTATGAAGGGGGTTGTGAAGGGGGTTCTAGAAGGAAGGATGAGGTATAACAGCACACGAGCCTGTAGACTTTCCTGGTAAAGTTGGATATGTTGATCATGAGAGCAGATGTTGGTGTGTGTCGTGATGGTGGGTGACGCTCCAGCGGGAACAACAGAGGGAAACCCACGAGAGGTTTACCTGTGTTGGGACCCGCCGGGAGCTCACCACTTAGTGCCCACAAAGAGTTTACCCCTCGGGAGTCCATAACAAGTTAACATCTCGGGGCGCACAAAGAGTTTACCTCTTCTTCAACTGATCGGACCGTGATTACCAGTTACTCCACAAGGTCTCCAAAAAGCAGTTTATCTTAAGTTTGATGTTGCAATGTAAACTTGCATGTGGCAAGTTTACAAGTGCACCTGATGCCCCTTGGATGGCCTGCCCTCTGACTCAGCACCTCGCCATCTACCACTCCGTAAAAAACGCGTCTGTTTTGCCTAGTCAGGAACGAAGGAGTCCCAACAACACACCTTTACCCATGAAGGCCGAGGCGCGAAAAAACGTCCATATGACTGTGCTTTTCCTCAAACTTAATAGGTCGCATTTTTAACGGATTAACCGAATCCGTTAAAAGTGTAACCTATTAGCTGTGGTCAGGCGGGGTTGCTGTAGGTTTAAGCGGTATTCTGAGCCGTGAAGGGCAAGTAGACTGCGGTTCGAACCCCTCAGAGAGAGAGTTATCTTTACCGTTGTAGTGTTCAATTAACTGTTCAGTGTTCAGTTTTTGTTCATCGGGTCCCAAGGATGGAACACAGTTTATGGCTGTGTAGTGTGACTCACGGTGACTGTGCTCCTTTGAGTCTCAGGTCTTATATGGTTCCTTAAGATGTGTTACTGCAGCCTTCTCCTATTATGTGGCGACCAGGTTCGTACACAGTGTTACTTAACAGTATGGTGAGCAGGTTCGTACACAGTGTTACTTAACAGAATGGTGAGCAGGTTCGTACACAGTGTTACTTAACAGTATGGAGAGCAGGTTCGTACACAGTGTTACTTAACAGTATGGTGAGCAGGTTCGTACACAGTGTTACTTAACAGAATGGTGAGCAAGTTCGTACACAGTGTTACTTAACAGTATGGTGAGCAGGTTCGTACACAGTGTTACTTAACAGTATGGAGAGCAGGTTCGTACACAGTGTTACTTAACAGTATGGTGAGCAGGTTCGTACACAGTGTTACTTAACAGTATGGAGAGCAGGTTCGTACACAGTGTTACTTAACAGTATGGTGAGCAGGTTCGTACACAGTGTTACTTAACAGTATGGAGAGCAGGTTCGTACACAGTGTTACTTAACAGTATGGAGAGCAGGTTCGTACACAGTGTTACTTAACAGTATGGAGAGCAGGTTCGTACACAGTGTTAACAGTATAGAGAGCAGGTTCGTACAGTGTTACTTAACAGTATGGTGAGCAGGTTCGTACACAGTGTTAACAGTATAGAGAGCAGGTTCGTACACAGTGTTACTTAACAGTATGGAGAGCAGGTTCGTACACAGTGTTACTTAACAGTATGGTGAGCAGGTTCGTACACAGTGTTACTTAACAGTATGGAGAGCAGGTTCGTACACAGTGTTACTTAACAGTATGGAGAGCAGGTTCGTACACAGTATGGCGAGTCAGTTTAGCCCAATACTTTCCCAGTTTGGCCAATTATATTCTCGGTGTACGAATCTACCAGCCCGGCCTCCTCTTTTGGCCCTACTTATAGTACCGATGAGCACCATAGTACATATACCGACATACAACGACATTAGAAAGTAGAAATCTCAACTATTGAGTTGGACAAACAGGAAAACTATTTTTTTACTTGTGTTGCTTTGACACACTAACCTAACCTCCCTAGGCCTAATACACGATATCTGAGGCTTAACATAGTACATATGTGTACTATACTGGGCCTGGGAATATGTAAGTTTGTGTTTTAGCTTTATTTATTTTAAAAGAATTCCTTACTAGTCAGTATACTACTATCTAAAAGCTAAGAATGTAGTAATTCTGACTATTGACGATAGTCACAATAGGTACTGTCTAAACAGGATGATGGGGCTGGATTTACTGAGAGATTAAGCTAACTGTGGGAGACACAGTCGCCTCCCAACTCACACACTTCTGAAAGAGCTGAAACAACGACTTTTCGGTCCGTCTACCAATATCAGCTCGTGTACAAATGGTCCACGACGGACCGAAACGTCGTCGAATCTTCATATTCATATACGTGGGTTGCATATCAACTCTTCATGCAGCCAGGCTATTGTGACTCGCCATCTGCATAGAGAGACAAAGATACTGGACCACCAGTCCATCATAGCTTGGTGGATCCAGTTTCAGTAGTTGAAGTGCGTGTGAGAGCCTAGAGAAGGACTCCAAGGGCTAGATTCACGAAGCAGTTACGCAAGCACTTACGAACCTGTACATCTTTTCTCAATCTTTGGCGGCTTTGCTTACAATTATTAAATAGTTAATGAGCTCCGAAGCACCAGGAGGCTGTTTATAACAATAACAACAGTTGATTGGCAAGTTTTCATGCTTGTAAACTGTTTAATAAATGTAACCAAAGCCGTCAAAGATTGAGGAAAAATGTACAGGTTCGTAAGTGCTTGCGTAACTGCTTCGTGAATCTAGACCTCCCTGGTTCGTAAGTGCTTGCGTAACTGCTTCGTGAATCTGGCCCCAGATGTCTGGAGGCTCACAGCTGACTTCAGAGTCCTCCTCTGCGATGACGCTCTGTAAGTTGCATGTATCACGGGATATCTGCAACATCATTGATCAACAATTCAACATACATTCGTTTTATTGAGGGCCGAGGAGGGGGGAGGGGGGAGGGGGTGGTGTTGGAACCTAACTGGTGATGAGTCTAGGGGTAACAAGGTGATTCACAAAGACGACCCTATCAGGCTCTCAGGGCGCTCTGGGTTAGTATTTCGCAAGCATTTTACACCATTGCAGACGAAACCTTTACATCTCTTCTCAATTACAGAGTTTTTCTTTAACATTTAATTAACAGTTTATTAGGTCCAAACAACCTAGATGTTGTTTATAACAATGTTGTTATGGTGGTGGTTGTGGTGGTGGTTGTAGTGGTGGTGGTGGTGGCCGGTGGCTGGTGGTGGTGGTGGCTGGTGGCTGGTGGTGGCTGGTGGCTGGTGGCTGGTGGTGGCTGGTGGTGGTGGTGGTGGCCGGTGGCTGGTGGTGGTGGTGGTGGTGGCTGGTGGCTGGTGGCTGGTGGTGGCTGGTGGTGGCTGGTGGCTGGTGGTGGCTGGTGGCTGGTGGTGGTGGCTGGTGGCTGGTGGTGGCTGGTGGTGGTGGTGGTGGTGGCTGGTGGCTGGTGGTGGCTGGTGGTGGTGGTGGTGGTGGCTGGTGGCTGGTGGCTGGTGGTGGTGGTGGTGGTGGTGGCTGGTGGCTGGTGGCTGGTGGTGGCTGGTGGTGGTGGTGGCTGGTGGCTGGTGGCTGGTGGTGGATGGTGGCTGGTGGTGGGTGGTGGCTGGTGGTGGTGGCTGGTGGCTGGTGGGGGCTGGTGGTGGTGGTGGTGGTGGCTGGTGGTGGTGGTGGTGGTGGTGGTGGTGGTGGTGGTGGCTGGTGGCCGGTGGCTGGTGGTGGTGGTGGTGGTGGTGGCTGGTGGCTGGTGGTGGCTGGTGGTGGTGGTGGCTGGTGGCTGGTGGCTGGTGGCTGGTGGTGGCTGGTGGCTGGTGGTGGTGGCTGGTGGCTGGTGGATGGTGGTGGCTGGTGGTGGTGGTGGTGGTACCATAGTAATGCTGGTGGCTGGTGGTGGTGGTGCCACAGTGGTGGTGGTGGCTGGTGGTGGTGGTGGCTGGTGGCTGGTGGTGGCTGGTGGTGGTGGTGGCTGGTGGCTGGTGGCTGGTGGCTGGTGGTGGTGGTGGCTGGTGGCTGGTGGTGGCTGGTGGTGGTGGTGGCTGGTGGCTGGTGGCTGGTGGTGGTGGTGGCTGGTGGCTGGTGGTGGTGGTGGCTGGTGGCTGGTGGCTGGTGGCTGGTGGCTGGTGGTGGCTGGTGGTGGCTGGTGGTGGTGGTGGTGGTGGTGGTGGTGGTGGTGGTGGTGGTGGCTGGTGGTGGTGGTGGCTGGTGGCTGGTGGCTGGTGGTGGTGGTGGTGGTGGTGGCTGGTGGCTGGTGGTGGTGGTGGCTGGTGGCTGGTGGTGGTGGTGGTGGTGGCTGGTGGCTGGTGGTGGTGGTGGCTGGTGGCTGGTGGCTGGTGGTGGTGGTGGTGGTGGCTGGTGGCTGGTGGTGGTGGTGGCTGGTGGTGGTGGCTGGTGGTGGTGGTGGTGGTGGTGGTGGTGGTGGTGGTGGTGGTGGTGGCTGGTGGCTGGTGGCTGGTGGGTGGTGGTGGTGGTGGCTGGTGGTGGTGGTGGTGGTGGTGGTGGTGGTGGTGGTGGTGGTGGCTGGTGGCTGGTGGTGGTGGTGGCTGGTGGCTGGTGGCTGGTGGTGGTGGTGGTGGTGGTGGTGGTGGTGGTGGTGGCTGGTGGCTGGTGGCTGTTGGTGGTGGTGGCTGGTGGCTGGTGGCTGGTGGCTGGTGGTGGTGGTGGCTGGTGGCTGGTGGCTGGTGGTGGCTGGTGGTGGTGGTGGCTGGTGGCTGGTGGTGGCTGGTGGCTGGTGGTGGTGGTGGCTGGTGGTGGTGGTGGCTGGTGGCTGGTGGTGGTGGTGGCTGGTGGTGGTGGTGGCTGGTGGTGGTGGTGGCTGTTGGCTGGTGGTGGCTGGTGGCTAGTGGTGGTGGTGGATGGTGGCTGGTGGCTGGTGGTGGTTGGTGGCTGGTGGTGGCTGGTGGCTGGTGGTGGTGGTGGTGGCTGGTGGTGGTGGTGGCTGGTGGCTGGTGGTGGTGGTGGCTGGTGGTGGTGGTGGCTGGTGGCTGGTGGTGGTGGTGGCTGGTGGTGGTGGTGGCTGGTGGCTGGTGGCTGGTGGTGGTGGTGGCTGGTGGCTGGTGGCTGGTGGTGGTGGTGGTGGTGGTGGCTGGTGGCTGGTGGTGGTGGTGGTGGTGGTGGTGGTGGTGGCTGGTGGCTGGTGGCTGTTGGTGGTGGTGGCTGGTGGCTGGTGGTGGCTGGTGGCTGGTGGTGGCTGGTGGCTGCAGGCAACTTGCAACAAAGCCAAAAGTCATCGCCAAAAACCAGCGTTGCAAGCAAGGGCCAAAAACCAGCGTTGCAAGCAAGGGACAAAAACCAGCGTTGCAAGCAAGGGACAAAAACCAGCGTTGCAAGCAAGGGACAAAAACCGGTCATCATAAAGACAGTCATCGAACCACGGAACAAAAAAAAATCAAGAAACAGGAAAAAAAAATCGGTAGTGAGGTTGGCAAAAAGTAACGAGTGGCGGGGATAATTTAGCTGGGTTTTCCCCCACCAAACAACATCACGTTGGTGCGCAGGGAATGAAAAAATAGTGAGAATGATCACTGGCTGCACGAGCATAATAATCTCGCTCGATGACGAAGGTTCGAACCCGTCGTCCTGCTCCTATGATTATCTCATGGCTATAGTTACTCTAACTTCATTATGCATGTTGCTCGTATGTCAGATACGAACAACTCTGTTATGCTTCAACTGCAAACGCAAGGAAATGTTACTTCGCATCTCTGCACACACACACACAGCAGTAGATTTAGCAGTAAATAGGTACCTGGGAGTTAGTCAGCTGTCACGGGCTGTTTCCTGGGGTGTGTGTACGTGGTGTGAAAAAACTAGTTAGTAAACAGTTGATTGACAGTTGAGAGGCGGGCCGAAAGAGCAAAGCTCAACCCCCGCTAACACAACTAGGTGAATACACACACACACACACACACACACACACACACACACACACACACACACACACACACACACACACACACACACACACACACACACACACACACAGATACTGGGGTAAATACAACTGGACTGGTATCCAAAGTGTTACTAAACTCACAAACAGTGTAAAGGACTACATTGGTTTGTCTATATTTCTCTATTTAATAAATGTGTTTGGTGGTCTTTTCCATTGTATAATATTGCCTTCGGAATTACTAAGGGATTTTGCTGTAATTACTCTATACAAAAATATTTCCTTGCAAAGAGTTTTATAAAACGGATGAATTTTTACTTAACTTCTTGTGGAAATTCTAAAGGTCATACCTAAAAAAATATGCCAGTTCCCCCAGGCGGTCAGTTTCCTGTTTTTCTGACTTGGCCATTCTCTCTCTCTCTCTCTCTCTTCTCTTACTACTTCACTTATCTCTTTGTTCTCTGGCTACTTCACTTCTCTGTCTGTTCTCTGGCTACGTCACTTCCCTCTCTGTTCTCTGGCTACTTCACTTCTCTGTTCTCTGGCTACGTCACTTCCCTTTCTGTTCTCTGGCTACTTCACTTCTCTGTTCTCTGGCTACGTCACTTCCCTCTCTGTTTTCTGGCTATTTCACCTCTCTCTTCTCTGGCTACTTCACTTCTTTGTTCTCTGACTACTTCACTTCTTTGTTCTCTTTCTTTATTTCTTTACTTCCCACCCTGTTCTCTGACTACGTCACTTCCTTCTCTGTTCTCTGACAACTTCACTTCCCACTGTTCTTTGACTACTTCAGTTCTCTCTCTCTCTGTTTTCTGGCTACTTAAGTTCTTTCTCCGTTCTCTGACTACTTCAATACATAGATTTCGTGTCTTCAGCTGAACAAATCTGGGTAGACGCTGAAGACGAAGTTGGCGTTTAGCGGTTAATAGTGAGGAAGATATTAAGCAAAAAGGGAATATTAAATATATTCATATATATCCTGAGCATATATATCGTTCAACTGTTTATTGTCATACATGAGCATATATATGACCAATAAACAGATGAACTACCCTAGTTGTTTAGCTCCAGCCCTGTCCAGCATGTCCTATGTGAAAATAGTAAAACAGCAGAAAGCACTATTGGTGGCAGCGGTGGGATTCCAACTGGATTGGTATTCCTGAACAATGGAATTGGATATTAATTTAGCACATGAACAGAGTAATTACAAATTGCATGTCTGAAGGGAATGGAATTATCAGGGGAAAGCCCAAGCCATTACGACTATATAGCACTCAGAAGGGGTCAGGATAAGGATTTGGGATTGGACTAGGAGGAAAGGAATGGTGCCCAACTACTTGGACGGTCAGGGATTGAACACCGACCAGCATGAAGCGAGACCTTACGTGCCCATACTATCGCTAAGGATTCAAGCTCAGCTGCGCTGTATTTATCTGCTTTTACTCAACGTTTCAGAAGCATATTTGCTTTAAGTTTTGCCCTGAGGGTCGAGTAGGCAGCGTCACTCATCCTGTGAGTGGACACACCGCCATAGTGACAGTATTGGGCAGCGTCACTCATCCTGTGAGTGGACACACCGCCATAGTGACAGTATTGGGCAGCGTCACTCATCCTGTGAGTGGACACACGGCCATAGTGACAGTATTGGGCAGCGTCACTCATCCTGTGAGTGGAAACACGGCCATAGTGACAGTATTGGGCAGCGCCACTCATCCTGTGAGTGAACACCCCGCCATAGTGACAGTATGGGGCAGCGTTACTCATCCTGTGAGTGGACACACCGCCATAGTGACAGTATTGGGCAGCGTCACTCATCCTGTGAGTGGACACATCGCCATGGTGACAGTATTGGGCAACGCCACTCATCCTGTGAGTGAACAAACCGCCATAGTGACAGTATTGGGCAGCGTCACTCATCCTGAGAGTGAACACCCCGCCATAGTGACAGTATTGGGCAGCGACACTCATCCTGTGAGTTAACACCCCG